AAAGCATTTTTAACATTCTGGATGTCACAGTGGATTGGTTAGATTTGGGTTTCAATTGGAGGCCGTGATCATTTAGTCACACAAACAACATATGAATAAGTTCTGCTCTCAAAATCATTAGAAATTTACCTCTAGATAGATAGGGTTCTGTAACGCTGCACATGCAGAAATTTCAGCAGCAACAGATACATTATAAGGTTGCTTTGCTCTCCATAAATACTCAATTATACTCAAAGGAAAAGCTCCATATCCCACACGAAGTCCAGCCAAACCTGAAACAGTTATTCGTTTTGGAACTTCAGCATTTAATGGCTCAGAATTCAAATTGAGACAAGAATAAATAGTCATTTCATAAGAATTTACCATATCAAAAATAACAAAACTATTCAACATCGTATCCACAGATGGGATATCATAATACAAAATTTTTTTTTAACATCATTAATGCTTGCGATAAAAATTCTTTCACCAAAATTATCGACTATATTTTCCGTTGTCACCCATGAATATAGATTTCTTTCCACTTTTTAATTGGTGTTACTGTGAACTTGGGTCCATCACAGTCTTCCCCTTCTCTATCCACGTACACCTAAAGCAATATGTTGTAATCGGACAAACCACTTGACCGTATCTGGAGCCAAAGCTACCAAAATCTTCAAACAAAAGCCCTCATTTGTGCATCTGTGCATTATTGGGGAACATAAGACAATCACTTTTGACAAGACCACAAGAGTCCTCCATCCTATTGCAAAGGGCCCATTTGATACTCAATGGAAATAAGTAGAAAGGGAAAAAAAGAATAAAAGTGATTTTTGCAATGGTGGAAATGTCCCTCGTACCCGTATTTTAGAAGAGCAATAAAAAGAGAGATAACTATTGAGTAATGGCTACAAGAACAAGGGGGGAAATCAGACTCCATATGTTCAGTTTACCTAGATTTCTTGTACAACAAGAGCATAAATTTCTTGTATAAGTAAAGGAAGATCAAAATTATAACAAAAAGAGTGAAGGTAAAATGCGAGCTCCAATAAAAAAGTAACCTATAAAATGGGGGAAAAAAAGCATTAATGTACCAGCTCTTTTGCTAAATGTCCGAAGAACAATCAAATTCTCAAATTTCTTCACCCAACTCATCTTCGACTCAATTCCAGAAAACTCAATGTACGCTTCATCCAGCACCACTAGTATGGGAAGATCAAGTATCTTTAAGAGAACTTCATCATCAATTATACTGTTGTGCAATTGAAAGCAACAAAAAATAAGTAACTTCAAACCAATGGAAAATTGAAAGAAAAAATCTCAGTACATATTTAATCATTTACTCATTTGATAGAAAAGAAAAAAGTTACTAGATAGGAATAGAATTGCAAAGGAGGATAATAATAAGACAGCCTCAAAAAGAAAAGCCCAAAAAATTGGGGGAAAATGATCAAAGAAAATGACAAAGCGCAATTTCTATACATACAAGGCAAGGAGACTCCAATACTCCAAAAGAGAACAGATCCTTTCCTACAAGTTTTTTAGAGTTGCATATGCATCATAGTATTTCTTTCCAATCAAATACACCAACAGAATCTCCGCAAAGCCTTAAAACCGCCATTTTATTTTTATTTCCAAACCATTATACCAAATCAACAAGAATTGATTGAAACATTTTGGGCAAACACAAATCAAGATTCCATACACAAATTCCAAACAACTTATCCGAGGAAAAGTAGCCATACAATGATGTAATAAAGTTCAAACTAGCCTGAATTATGTTCTAATTAGTGGAAACAAAAACTATAATAATAATGATGACGACGACGACGACGATAAAACCAAATTATAGCACCAAAGTCATACAAATTCTGAGAGCCCACTACAACACCACGCACTACTCTTCCGGTCCTATTTATAAGTTACTTTCAACATGTTTCATACAAATCAAGAAAAACCTTGAACTTTATCAACTCTCATTTAAAATTCAACAACTTTTCAACTTTATCTCTATTTAATATCCATTATACCTCATATAAACAAAGTCAACATAATAATAAATAAAAGACAAAATTGTACAATCATACAAAAAATTTCTCTCAGTACCTTACAAGTAAAACAAAAAAAATCTTCTCTCTCTACCTTATAAATAGGACCAGAAGAGTATTTTATAAAGTGAATGACTATTGACTAGGACTATGCAAAATACCTGAAATCTTAATGAGACACTTCGAATCAGATTCCAAACCTTTTTTTTTTGGGCGTAAAGATTCCAAACATTCTAATAATACCTAAATTTGTTGATTATGAGCTGTAATGAAGGAAATCACAATGGAAAAATAATCAAACAGCACAAGCATGCACAAAATGAGCAAAGACAACTCAATAGTTACCTTCCATCTGGATTGTTTGGTGACGTTAAGAATATACATTTGGGTTTCTCTTGTTTAACAACCTCTGTTATGCGTTTTACATCCAGGCTGAAATCTTCCCTCCTCGGAACTGCAGCATAAACAACACAGAAGGTTTAGCACATCCGACATGAAAATAAAAGCACACTGAGCTGGTAACAAAAATGTTTACAATTAGGATACTAAAATATGTCATTCTACACATCAAGAGATGAAGTTTTCTTACTTGTCTAGTCAAGAGATTAAATAAATTCACAATCTATGGTTCAATGTGTTTGAGAATCTCTGATTTTCTTCATCAGGTATGAACGGATTTCTAATCTTTAGATAGGAATATATTTACAACATAATATAGGTTGCTTGGAGGAAATAGCATTCTTGCCTTTGACAACAAGTGCCCCATTAACTGCAGCATCAAACTCATACATGGTAAAGGTTGGAGGACAATCCACAATCTTGTCTCCAGGATCCAGCACACAACTGCATCATACACAAACCTTGTATGAAACCTCAAAGGATAAAAAAGGAAAAACAAAAGGGAATAATTTTCAGTCATTAAGTCATCCTAAGCAGTCGTTTAAGACAGTGAATAATAATTTGACGCCTGTTAGACCACAAAAAGGTCTAACAGTGAATAATAATTTCCATACCGCATGATCAGATCAATGAGCTCATCTGCACCACACCCTGCAAGAATATATTCTGACTCAATGCCTGAATCTTGGGCCAGGGCCGCACGCAATCTACGGCTTTCTGGGTCAGGATAGACATAAGGGAATCTTATTGATCCTAAGGCTTCCAAAACCTGTCAGAAATTTTGATAGTTTGGTCAGAAAATAACATATAGATGAAATGCTCAGACAAGTCCTGACGCAGCCCAAAAACAAACTTCAGCATCAAAATCTTATAAACATTCAAAAGCTGAACTATAATTTTTATCCTTACTGTCATTGTTTAATATCATACCCAACATTCAATACCATGAAAGTGAAAAGACAAGTATTAGAGCTTGCCTCTGGAGGAGGACCATAAGGGTTTTCATTTGCATCTAACTTGATAATATCCTCAGGTTTTCGCCCAAGACGAGAAGATAAAACCTACAGCAACATGCCTTCATTCGTTAATAAATTGAATTGCAGTGCAATGAACAGGGTCTTTGCAATTGTACAGTGAACTTGGGCTCTGATATCAAACCCAGACATCAAATTAGAATAAAATTATTGTGGAGCATTAACAAATATATTTCTAATCCAAAGTAATGATTCAAAGAGTGTGCTAAAAAGCCCAACTGTGGAACCCAAAGCTAAAACATTTGGAAATAATTTAATAACTATCCAGTGTACTTTTAAGAGAGATGCCATTGAGGCTATAGTCAGGTAGAAATGGAGTTTGATGAGATGATAAGAGCGACCTCAAATGGCAAAATGGGCTGGTAAGGGGACAACTTCCTGAGATGCTCCCTAATAAAGGTGTCACCAGTTAATTTATTGACTTTTTCTACAGGAATGGTGGAGGCCATTGCCACAAACTTCTGATTCCTCCCAAATGAACAAGTAGGTAGTGATGAGAGCCGAAAAGTAGTAGAGTTGCACAAATCAATAACCCCCATTTAATACCTGCATAATGTTAACTCCATAAGAAGAGCTTCACAGACAAGGAATATATAAATGAATTGGATAGGAAAAAAAACTAGTGCCAGAACAGATTCTTCATTTTCAAAAGTTGCCAAAAGCTAATGGATCATGTTCTTTTTTTTTTTTTTTTTTCCTGTACAAAAAAAGGTAGTTCTTTAACTTGAGTGTCAGTAAAATGTCCAAAATTGCTTTTTGTCATAGGATTCATCATTTTCATTAAGTTTATGTCAGATAACATCAATCGAATAATTTCAGATATTAATAAGAGGGCGATGGAAACATCTAATTAGAATGGAATGAAAAATAAAAAAGAATAACACTATATAAATAAAAATAATTTTTGGATTCTTTCGCCAAAGAAAAAAAGAAAATTATTAGCAGTAAACAGTAATAATAGAAGTGTGATTGAGATTATATAGCTTGATTTTTTATATAGCCGAAAGAAAAAAAGAAAAAAAGATATTTAATCCTATATTTTTTATTGATTTTAAATTAAGTCCATATAATTTTAGAATTTTCAAAAAGATCCCTCAAATATGTAAATGTCAGTGTTAATCCTCCATATTTTATAAAGTTTCCTATCCACTCCCAAAATCCACCAAATCAGTGAAAAATGAACTTAGCCAAGGTCAAGGACATCACTACCTGCTGATTTGTTCTTCACTCAACTGAATTTGAGGCAAATTTTAATTGCTGCACCTGATTTCCATACCTGTGACAAATATGTGAACATTCGATGCTAAGATGACACTTGATGTTAACAGTGCAAAAGAAAGAAATCTACAGAGCAAATTTTGTGAAGCATATGACTAGAATCTAGAACTTGTCAAAGATAGAGAGATTATAGGGAGTGGATACAAAGAAAAGTGAACCCCGCACATACTTCAACTCTTTTATATCAATCTTCCCCCCTAAATATATGGTGCTTTATTCTCCTCGTGCCTGAAAAAGGGACCTTCAAGAATACAGCGATATTCTACCAATAATCTCCACAAGAGCATTGTCCTTCTTTAAAATGATGAAAACAATTTGAATCCCTCAAAACGATATGACAAAGGAAGACTCTTGAGATGTATTTCATAGCAGTATGGCAATCCCCACAAACTCGGATATTCTTAAAAATTCGAATTGGTGCACCTGATGGTGAAGCAATAAGTCCAAAAGCAACAGCCAGCTTCTCACTGTGATAAGCAAGCCCAGTCTCCTTTCCCTCCCTCTCCATGTCATGCAAAGCAAAATTCATATCTGGAACATAGCCAGCCTCCTTGATTCTTATTATTATTTCATCTATTTTGGCATATATCTCAACTGTTCTAGGATGCCCTCTGTCTTCAGATAGGAAGATATGAATTCTGCTGTTTACCTCAACCCAACTGCACCCTGGCTCTTTAACTATTCCCTTTGATTTCATCAACTTCCGAATTTTTGCAGCATCATCCCATTTGTGAGCAGCAGAATACATGTTAGACAACAGAACATAAGGCATAGCATTCATGGGTTCCAACTCAAAAAGGTTTTGGGCTGCCATCTGTCCCAATTCTATGTCTCCATGAACTCTACATGCAGCAAGCAGTGCCTTCCACACAGTTGCATCTGGTTTGACATCCATTTTATTTAACAATTCTTTAGCCTCATTAAGCATTCCTGAACGCCCGTAGAGATCAATCATGCAGGCATAGTGTGGAGGACCAGGTTTTATTCCATAAACCTTATTCATTTGTTGGAAGTACATGCGACCATCGTTTACAAGTCCAGCATGGCTACAAGCAAATAATAAACCAATAAATGTGATAAAATCTGGTTTTGTGCCACTTGAAATCATTGCATTATAAAACATCAAAGAGTCCATTCCTTTACCGTTTTGTGCATAACCAACAATAAGAGCTGTCCAAGTAACTACATCCCGTGTTTGCATAGAGTCAAATATGCAATTGGCATCATCTAAGCATCCACATTTTGCGTACATGGCCACAAGTGAGTTTTCTACCGACAGTGATGATTGAAGGCCAGATTTAATAAAATCTGAATGCACTTGTTTCCCAAATTCTAGAACAGTCAGTTCTGCACAGGCACTCAGAACACTAGCAACAACAAACTGGTCAGGTTTTATTCCAACAATTCTCATGTCAGAAAACATCTTCAGGGATTCTTCATGGGATCCATTGTGCGCATAACCAGTCACAAGGGAAGTCCATGAGACAACGTCCTTCTCCTGCATTTGATTGAACACCACATATGCACAATTCAAGTCTCCAATTTTGGCATACATGTCAACAAGGGCATTGCCAACAAGCTGATAATTCTCAAATCCGCACTTGATTGCCAAACAGTGAACAGACTTTGCATCTATACTGCCCATTATGCAACAATTTAGGACAGATGGAAATGTATAATTATCAATCTTCATATTTCTCGCATGCATTTTTTTGAACAAAAGGAGAGCTTCATCTTCAAACCCGTGCCTCGCACACCCAACTATCATGGAGTTCCATGAAATGACATCATCAACCTCCATAGCTTCCAATACTTTTTTAGCACTGTTCAGGTCTCCGCATTTTGCATACATATTAACCAGTGCGCTTTGAACATATATGTTGGTCCCAAAACCACTCTGAACAATGCAACCATGCACCTGTTCCCCAAAACATTGAGATGAAACAGCAGAACATGCTGTCAATATGCTTGGAAATGTAAAATGATTCAATTCAACCCCTTCTTTGTGCATATCACGGAAAAACTCAATTGCCTTGTGACCATCCCCATTATGAGCATAACCACTAAGCATAGATGTCCAAAGAACATGATTTTCTCTACTGTTAGGCAAGAACTTGAAGAGATATTCTGCTTCTGATATGCGCTTGCACTTGGCATACACATCAACAAGGCTAGTCAAAACATATACATTAGATTCTAATCCAGACTTTAACACATACCCATGGATCAATTCCCCACTTTGGATCAGCCCTAACATTGAACATACCCTTAGTATACTTGCTAAAGTGTATTGGCTGGGGTTTTGACCCTCCAACCTCATTTGCTGAAACAAATCAAAAACTTCATATCCATACCCATATTGACAATATCCAGAAATAAGGCATGACCAAGTGATAGAACTTTTACAAGGAATATCGTCAAAAACCTTTCTTGCTTCAGCTAGCCTTCCTGAACTAAAATAAGCAGCTATCATAGTATTCCAAGTGTACTCATCCCGTTCTGGCAGACTATCAAACACTATCCGGGCTTCATCAATTTGGCCAGATTTTGAGAGCTCCTTTAGAAACTGATTTGAACGGAACAAAGTTTGACAAGAATTCGCGATGGTTTGAACACAACGAGCAAATTGCATCAATTTGAGCTGGTTGCATGCGTGGTTTGGAAAACTCAGAAATTTTGAATTTAATATATACATAACCACTTCTCCGTGCCCCTTTATTGCGTAAAATGACGTCCAACTTCAGTAAATCAGCGAAAGATCACACATTTTACATAGAATATGATAGTAAATTTAACATCAAAATCCTCACACTCAATAGCAGAAACAAAGATATGAACAGAATTACAAAAATAATAGCCGGTCATTCACAATGAGATACATAATCCACTAACCATCATAATAATCATAATATTCCTATTAGAAATTGATGGGCACTAGTAATAAACAAAACTTCGGACCACGAAATCACACAAACAGATAGGCACTTTGCCTGCTTCTCAGAATGTGCATCGTTAAAGCAAATTATTTTGCCTGCTTTATCGGAATGTGTATCATAAAGCAAACGACTCTCTTCAGCAGCATAAAAAAGGGAACTTGATATAAAACCAAAATGTTATTTGGGGATGAGAACGAACAAGAAGAAACCAACCAACAGAGATTTTCAAAGTGCCCAGTTTATATTAGAAAAAGAGAAGTGAACAGAACATCTAAAGCACAGGCCCAATAAGCAGAAGGACAAGCTTGATGCTTACACTGAATCGACGGAGATCCACGGCTCTGCAAAGGTCAAATTCGCCGGAGACAGAGCAGCAGAGGCTAGAGCGGCGCGTCCGTGAACAGGCAAGCGGAGGATGAAGCGAAAGTGTCGTAGGCCTGTCTTGCCCGGCCCGAGGAGGCAAAAAAAAAAAAAAAAGGGGCCTCAGCACATTCGCCCCTCTTTCCCTAGCAATCATAATTACGATCATGCCATTGATAGAGCCCCGTGGGAGAAAATGGAGGTATGAAATGTGCTTAAGAAAATTGTTAAAAACAAACCCTCATTATTAAATTGATTGTCTAAAGAAGATACTTAAGATTTATTTAAAGGTATAATATAGGTGTAACTTATTTTTAATGACCATGCCTTTTTCTGATTATATATGTAAAACATCAGCGACAAATGGAAGATATTTGTATACTGATGAAAATATGCTACATACAGTCGAAAAAGACTTGCATGTAACATTAGACAATAAATTTTGTGACGAAATTTTTTTGGATAATTTTTCTAATATCTTGTGTTCTTAAATTTTAAAAAAATAATAATGAAAAGAAATTAGTACGAGGAGTGTAATGTTCTGCATGCTATTGATTTAAATGATCCGATTATGTTATACCATCACAAAATAGACCCTAACTGTATCTGCAAAAACAAAAGGCTCAATAATGGAGAAAGGGAAGAGTTCTTTCTTAATTCTTCTGGAGATACAAGAAACAAAGACAGAGAGAAATGGAATAAACAGAAACTGCGAAGTGTGAAACTTCACAAAGAAACCTCCACCATGAGAGGAAACAGTGTCCATAAGGAATCCAGGGATCACAAACAAAAGAGAAACCTCCACCTACCTCCATGAGACACTGAAAGAGGAAAACAAAAAACAAAAACAAAATTAGAAGCGAATTCACCTATATATGGCTTTGTCGAATGAACATGCTGCGATGCCGTGGATTTCGAGATTTGGTAACCTTATCTGCCTCCTACTCCATTCATTCCATTCTCATTCATATAAAACAAGAAACAAAAGTGGAAGCAGGGAAGGAGGAGAAAGCACTTGTAGAATTGAAGAGAGAGAAAGACGGAATAGCGATCAAGAGGGCTTTTTAACAGATATGCTTTGAACAGAAAAAATTATTGAGATGCCGCAGTAGTATGAAAAATATTTACTTAAATACCATACTTAAAATCCTTCACAACTTGAATGAGTTTAATTAATTTACATGAAAATCGATCTCACCAAGAACGACTTCCACACACATTGCCAGGCATCACATTTATTTTTTCAAGACACAGGAGGAAGAGTTTCCTTTATTCTTGATCGTCTTTACCAGGAAATGTGTTTGTGGAAAAATCAAATTCGTGCAAAAATTAAATTTTTACATATAAATAATATATGAACAAACTAGGTAGGATTGAGTGCCAGTAACCTGAAACACTGATATGAGAGCCCCATGTGATTGCAACCTATGTTACCAGCTGCTGAAAATCGTAATTGTAGTCTCAAGAACACAATTATAATTCGTGCAAATCATCGTAATTGAAGTCTCTTAATAATGCAGTGAAATTATATATGACTATTTATTTCATGGTCTAAATTGTCTAGTAATAATTGAAATGGTTGTTCGCAGGTATCACTGTTTGGACAAAAAAACAGCGTACAGATCAAGGTCGAAACAATCCAGATACGATAATTGATGCTGGGACAACGTTGGCATTTTTTAAATCAAGCTTTTATTATGATGAGCAGGTTGAAGCTTAATTTGGCGAAATAATTAGCAATCAATAGTACAAAACTCTCCATTTAAATGTTGTCACAGAAAAGTTACCGTTATCATCCAGATTATGTAACTTCCCAAACTTTGTACAAGTGAGTATTATGTTTCACGTTCTTTCTTCAAAGTCAAGCTCCTTCTTCGATCAAACAAACATGCGCACTTTCTTTCGCACATCTTTTTCCTTTATTGCTCCTTTTTTCTTTCGCTTTGTTTTTTCCTACCATTCTTCAAACGTATCTCTTAACTTTCACACTTGTTAATTTCCCTCCATGCTCCTTCCCCATTCATTTACTCCTATTTTCTCTTTCTCTAATTCCCCTTCACATACGTTTATCGTAGCTAGTGTGATTGGCTTCTTTGCAAAGCAAATTATTTGCAGATCAACATGTATATAGTGACGGTTTTAGGCTTTAACAAGTTGGAAGAAAGCCTTTGAACTTAGACTACAGCAAAACTCTCAATCAATAAAGAGAGAGGAAAAGTGATATTTTAGTATCAAATTTAAGAATAAAGAAGAAAATATAATGTTTCAACTTGTTAACTAGATTACGCGTATGATATATGTAATGCAGCCGAAAAAGGTTTGTAGCTTTATATTTTTATGAATTTCCGGAAAGTTGAATTATATTAGCTATTGAATAATGATCATTCAGTTGTTAGTGTTAACCATCTAGTTGGTTGGTGACCCTAAAATCTATAAAGATGGTTGAATTGAGGTTTTGTCTTCCTTAATTTTGTGCATCACCATTCATAACTTCAAGGGAGGAGTGATGAAAGGTTTGTTCTTTTTTTAATACAAAAATTCTTGGTGAGTTGGTTTTGGATGCTTATTAGTGCTAGGGCATATTTCCAGAATCAAGAAGTGCTTACAAAGATACTTATAGATCCGCCACTAACAAGGTCCTCACATTAGCAATGTGATTTGAATTCACGATCTTGTGAGTTATGAGCTAACTTTTTATTAACTAGACCAATTCTTATTGGTGATAAAAGGTTTGTTCTAATTGTAATTTCATTTTGGATACCGTAATGACTTCAATCAGTAATTAATTCATATTTTCATTTCATTGTGTTTGTTAACATGAATAAAATAAAATTTTAGTAGAAGCAATATTGCTACAATTTTAAATTTTTGAGGCAGATGCCTAACACTTTTGAATGAAAACGTTGAAATAAATTTGCATCTTAACCCAAATTTATTTTAATTGATGATGCGTCATTCAAGGCCAAAATAATGTTTATGAATAAGGAAAAAAGTTGGTGAGCAAGGGAAATTAAACTCATCACTAGTCTAACAAAAAAGAAAATATATACTAATGATAATATGAATTAATACAATATATTGACTACTTAATGTAAAATTTTATATTCAATTAGATTCTCCCACATAGGCTTTATTTGGTTACACGGGAATATTTCTAATGGAAATGTGAACAATAAAAAAGAGAATGAGAATAAAAATATGAATGCAAATGAGTTTAATTTGATGGAACATGATAATTATATTTGTATATCATCCAAAATTAAAAATAAGTATTGCTCTCTAAGTTTATGTTTGATTGGATTATTGAAAATGATAATGACAATGACTTAGCTAGACCTGTATAACCCAAAGATAACGCAAACCTATTTTCTAGTTCTATGATGTGCCCATGGGATACGTTAATGCAAACTTTCTAACCCAAAAATCACGCAAAGCAAACTCCATTCTCATATAAAAGCTTATCTAGCTATTCCTATTTCTCTTGCGTTTCTCAAACATCCATTTTCTTTTCACACTCATCTATTCCCATTTGTTACTTGGTTTGGTTGTGTCTCCTACTATTCTCCAGGAATTCTTTTCTACCGCATACTCCTTCCTCACTCATCGAACTGTTCCTATTTTCTTGGTTCTCAATTTCCTCCACTCGTTTTTCTCAGTTTCTCTCTGCCAATATTCGTCAAACATGTCTTTTGTTCACACTTCTTTTCCTTCATGTTCCTTCCTCGCTCATTTATTATTCCTGTTTAATTTCCTCAGCTCTTTCTATAACCCAACCACCTCCACAAGGAACCGTCCACAGCATGATTGGCTTTCTTCGTAGGAGAGACCAATAAATGTGAGTCTCTTCTCTCCATAGATATATGGAGCCGGGGTGTCAGCTGCCCCTTAATTTTAGGGCTCTTTTCAAATATTTTTTAGCTTATTTTTATCATTAGATTCTACATAAAATGAGTGACATTTTGATATTTTATTAGCAAAAAATAGTTTAGTTTTCAAATTTTTTGTCAATTTTTTTAAAGATTTAATACTCTTAGTTAAAAAGAAAATTTGAGTATTAAATTTTTGAAAAATTGTAAAAAAAATTGAAAACTAAATCATTTTTACAAATAATATATCAAAATATCACTCATTTTATATAGAATCTAATGGTAAAAAAATTTCAAAAAATATCTATGAAAGAGCCCAAAATTATGGGGCAGCTGACACTCCCAACCCATGCAGAGAAGGAAAGAAACACTGATATTTTAGTTTCAAATTTATAATTAAACAACAAAATCTCTTAGTTTGACATATAGATGATATGTGAACTAATATAATTTGGAGGCAAACTGGACTGTTATATGGTATACATTTATGAGAGATAATATAGCAATATGAATCTATGCAGGCCATTACCGAGAAATCACGCAAATCTGTGTCCACTATAGCCCTAAAATCAACCTAACTTTTCTATATACAGAACCTCAAGCCCCTTCTTTGCACATCAAATCTTCTCAGTCGCATATCCTTTGGGTTTTTCTAGCATTCTTCAAAATGCTGCCTCATTCACTCGCTTTCGCTCTTATTCTCTTTCTTTCCACCTTTTTCGTTAATGTCTCTGCAACAAATAATAAGCTCCCAAAAGGTTTCAGCATCGACCTCATTCATCGTGACTTGCCATTATCACCGTTCTTCAACTCCTCCATGACCCACTCGGAGCGAGCTCAGAACGTCGCGCCGCGCTCCCTATCCAGAGCTAATCGCTTTGGCGCTCCTCCATGACCCACTCGGAACGATGCAAGTTATCTCATAAAGATATCTGTTGGGACTCCACCTGTAGAGAGGTGGGCACTTGCAGACACCGGAAGCGACCTTATTTGGTTCCAGCGTTCGCCTTGTCCTCAGTGCTATCCTCAGAACGCGCCCTTCTTATGTGGCTCAGACCCTTGCAAAGCTCTGCCCCCAGTCAACGTGCAAGGCCAACTGTATCCTAAATGTGGAACATCAAATGAGTGTGCGTATTTTTATTCGTATAGGGATAAGTCATACACCATGGGAGAACTGAGCGCAGAATCAGTTAGTTTCGGCCAAGCTGCTTCGTTTCCTAAGACGGTGTTTGGGTGTGGACACAACAACGGAGGATCCAACATGAACAACGCAGGACTTGTTGGGCTTGGTCAAGGTTCTTTGTCGTTAGTTTCACAAATGGGTAACGTTGGTCGTAAATTCTCCTATTGCCTGCCTCCTCACAGTTCAAAGACCACAACTAAACTAAGGTTTGGGGAAGAAGCATCCATCTCAGGAAATGGGGTTGTGTCCACTCCGTTGATCACAACCTGATTCCTTGTCTTCGTTTTACTTCCTCAACCTTGAAGGTACTACTTGTATTATGTTTTACTCTGAGGTTATTAGTTTATTTTCATTTCAAGTTATAAGTTTAAACTCTTGAATTGTTCGCCGGTCTAAATTGTTTCTGTGAAATGGTCATTCATCGATGGGTATCACTGTTGGACAGCAGACGGTGCAGACAGGTGAAAGCAATGGGAACATAGTGATTGATTCTAGGACGACATTGACGATACTTCCGTCAAGCTTTTATGACCAGGTTGAAGCTTTGGTGAAGCAAGCCATTGGAGCTGACCAATTCATAGTACAGGAGGATCCATACAAATTGTGTTACAGCAATGCTAACTCCATCCAGAACTTCCCAAATTTTGATGTTCATTTTACAGGAGCCAACCTTTCCTTAAAACCTCAGAACTTTTTCCGTCTCATATCCAACGATGTTATATGTTTGCAATGCTCCCTACAGATGGAACGCCCATTTACGGAAATGTGGCTCAGATTGATTTTGAGGTGGAGCATGATCTTGATCAGAAAAAAGTTTTTTTTGCTCCCGTCGATTGTATTAAACAGTAGAGACCCGAGAGCACTGCCTATATACACACACTATCTCCGGTCCTAATTATAAGATATTGGAGGTAGTATATATACATGGAGTAGGAGTCGTGTGCGTGTTTGATGAATAATAAACTTTGGTTTTGTAAACCCTACGTTTACTTTGCTATTACTTGTTTTATTTTCTATAGCAAATTAATCTTAAAGGTCCTTACTTATATGTTGGTTTTAGAGACTTTGGTATATGTCATACATCTGTTATCTTTGTTAACTAAATCCTCAGCGCGTCTAAATCTACTGTGAAATTTGGAATTTCACTACGATATATATAGGAATATTTCTCACTTCTATGCAATCTTATTTCTCATAATTTTTATTTTACCTCAAAACATCTCGTTGTAATTAGCTTCAGCGCCAATAATGAACGTAAACCGTGAAGCCCTAAATATTAATATCAAAGCATTTTAATTATTAATTACCACCATTATTGTAATTTGTGGAATTACGTAAGCAGATTTTTACAAATGTGTTAGCGAGGCGTTTACTATATTTATTAAAAAATTAGATTTCCTTGGCTATATTGATGGTTGACGTGCAGTAAATTGGTCATTAGTCATTAATTACTTAGGCTATAAGTTGATTGACTTTGGAGTCAACTCTTTAATTGGTCATTAGTCGTTAATTACTTAGGCTATAAGTTGATTGACTTTGGAGTCAACTCTTTATTAATCATAACTGTATTTGATTGTCTCAAAATCTCTAAGTAATGGAGTTAGATAATCGTACTTTCCTCTAAAGCAATACGGACTTCTAACTTAATTAAGTTGTAGTCAAAATTTATTTTGTATTATGATATATTTTGCCTTTTCTTTTTAATCATAACAGTAGTTTATATACTTTTTTTTTTGGGTAAAATTAGTTGATATACTTTGAGAATAACGAGGCTATTTTCTTAACCCTCCTTAAAAAAAGAAAAGAAAAGAAAAGAAAAGAAAGAATTCCCAATTGACAAATTTCACACTTTCACTGAATCCGAAATTCGTTTTTCTATTTTGCAATATAAGCGTAAAGAGTATTTATTAAAAATAATATAATATTGAGCTTTATTCATTTCAATATCCACATTTTATAGATAAAGTTAATGTTCTTTACACTCTTGCATATTTACTCTACAATGAACTCTTTTTTGCAATGCTAATTCCTTGGATATTTTCTTTGAGAATGCTAGTAAGGTAAAACGAAAGTTCACCTTTGTTTAATTATGTTCAATGTTCCCTCCCTTTTTTCAGAATTACTCAGAATACAGAAAAATGATTTTAACAAAATATTTCAAGAAAAAAATGCAAAAATTAATCTGTTTAAATAATTGACTTATTTGAATAGTACAGAAATAAGCCCAGTAATTCTAGACAGCAATACAATCAAAGCATCTAATTTAAAGAACAAATTATTATTAACATAATAATTTAGACTTTTTGTGAAGTCTTGAAGGGATTGTAAATAATTTAGAAAAAATTGTTGCGGAAAATTAATATTATCTAAATACAAATTATTTTTAAGGAAAACATTTTATATCAATTCAATAAACGATATTGTTTTAAGGGATTATTGTAAATAATTTAGAAAAATCAATATCTTTAAGAAAACACCAATACGTTTTAGCCACATTCTCATTATGTTCTTCCCCCCCTTTTTTTTTTTTCCTGTTAGGCACATGTGCATCCTCTTATTAGACATAATTCTGTTCAAAGTATTGTCATGCACTAAATGTAAGCATCTTTCCTAGCGTTGATTTGAACAATAATTCGCTATATTATAAGGGATTAGTCCTTTCCATTATATCCAACTCAATCGGTCCTTATCTACGTATTTTGATTAGTCTTTAGTCAACACTCAATACAAAATTTAAAGAGAGAAATCAAGCCTCTCTGGTTGGAATGCCATCCAACAAATTATGGGCCACTGAGATTTGTGGAAGATTAACACATAAGCTTTGGAATGACGAAGTCGCACAAGACAAGTGAAATGATTTGAAATGGAAAATGACATAACAAAGATTCCATTTTTATACTCATCCGGTTCTAAATATAAGATATATTTTGTGGTGTAATTTACACTATAAAATGAGTTTCATATTTTATTACAAAGATTTTCTTTCAAGGAGTCTTGCAGTTTGAGAAGAAGAAACAAAATTAATAATGAACTTAACCCTGAAAACGTGCGTTGCGTATACCCTAAGTATTCCCTAAGGTGTATATTTCATTTCTCAACTTTATAAAAAGTTTTAGTTTGGTCTCTTAATTTTAAAAAGTATACTTTTAGTCCTTTAATCTTAAAATTATTAGTTTTAACTGATTTTTTTTGTAACAATGATGATTGTTTTGAGAATTAAACTTAATATTTTAATATTTAAAATTTTTTTATTAATATTTAAGATCTCAATATTATTATTTTTTTGTTAACAGTTTTAAAATTAAAGGACTAAAAATATACTTTTTAAAATTAAAAAACTAAATTAAAACCTTATATAAAGTTAAAAAACCAAAAGTATATTTTAGCTAACATTTTAATTGTTATTAGAATTATAAGTGGAATTATGTAAGAAGATTTTTACAAGGAAAAATCACAAAAAATACTGTAGAAATTGTGAAATTGGAAATCAGGTATTTTGTCAGATATTTGTTGTCATTTGCTGTTACATTGTCGTCAAAACCTATACAAGACTTGTAACAGGCCCTGACTTGTGATTTTGCAATTTTCATGGTCTTTTTTTTACTTTTTACAATGCGTTAGGCATAACGCAGATATATTTATTTATTTAAAAAAATAAGATTTCCTTGGCCGCATTGATTGACTTGACTTGGAGTAGATTGGTCGTTAGTCATTACTTAGGCTTTTTTTGGTCAAAAATAAAAAAATTACTGAGGCTTTATTGCTTTAAGATGATTGACTCGGGAGTCAAAACTAAAAAATTACTTAGGCTTTAAGATGATTGACTTGGGAATCAACCCAAAATTTATTTTATATTATGATACATTTTTTTAACAATTCCTATATAACTCGTTAAAAAAAAAAAAAGAACTCTTAACTTGTATAGTATTCCCTGTTGAATAAAATGGCTATAATATCATTAAATAGGTTTCGGACACTTAACATGGATTAGTTTGATTGGTGATAATTGGGAAAAAAGTGTGATTAGCGATATAAGTCTATATATATATATATATATATATTTATATATATAGTCCAGATGCAGATGAGCGAAATGAATAAAGCAGCAGAGAATTATAGATTGAAATTTAAAAAAAGAAACTCAGAAGATTGCACAATGAAGATAACTATAAATAAATTTCTCCAATTAGCCGGATGATTAGTTTCAAGTTGCATAATGTTTTAAAAAGAAAAAACTTGATAAACATGCCACCAAAAGAAAAAAGAGAAGAAAAAAAATGATAAACAAAATGTTTTACTGAAACAAAGCATAATTATAAATCTTGGAAGATGATCATCAGTTTTTTTCTCTTTTATCAAGGGAAGATTATCAGTTGTAAATACCAATTAATTAAACTGAAGTGAATCGTGACAGATGAAATGTAAAACAATATTTAAATCAAAACCTATTTTTCTCCTGTTAACTCAATTTACAACTAAATTAATTTGTGGAATTTATAGATCAACTTCTCATCATATATTAACTGATTTTTTAGTCAATAATTTACGACTTATCTTTTATTATTTACAAATTATTCAATATTTTTCATTTACAACTTCTTCTAAATTAGAACATTTTTCAACCAATCGATCTGTGACCTATTTCCGTTATTTGTCTTTTAAGTGGGAAATGAAAGCAAAGTTTAGAATTTTCACTGCTCATTAATGAACTATACCGTACCAACCCTCAAATTGCGTTGTGGGACCAGTGGTGTGAAATCAAGCATTGGAAACTACTCATAGTAGTCAAAACGGGTTTTTGAAAAACCGGCCGGCTCAAATTTGTGAGCAGGGATGGAGAAGAAGAAAGGCGCAGAAAAGCTTTTCTGGATATGAATCTTATCCTCATCCTTTGTCCCTTCAAGAATAGCCATGGAGACGGTTGCGAGGCTAGAAGAAGATAAGAAGCTCATCTTGGGTGCCCGACGACTCGCAAATCTGGACTGTAAATAAAACCTCCCTAATCTACAATGAAGAAAAGAAGACGACGTGCAAGTAATGGAGTGGAAGTAGGGGAGAAAAGAAAATAAAACCTCGGGAGTAGAGATAGAGTATACGCAGGGGCAGTTTTTTTTTTTTTGGGGCCAACACGCAAAGGTAGATTTACCAAGGATGACGTGTGCTATAAATGAGTATTAGTTAAACCTTTTTTAACGTTCTTTTTCAAGGGAAAAAATTAAATTAATTGTGAGATAAAGTTATATCCACTGGTACAAATTGCAAAAGTCAAAGATTTACTATACTATATATTAAAAAGGCTATAAAAAATATTTACGTCATAATATTGTAATTATTAAGGATTATTATATGATTAAAATATATAAAATATTTAATTTATCCTCTAACATCATTCTTATTTAAGGGATAAAGTGAGCATACCAATAATTAATAGAAACAAAAATAAAAATATATATAAAAAATTTCAAATAAGGTATTACTGTCAATGTGTCATGGACCTTCATCCCCAAAATTTTTTTTTATATATCAGATTTAAGGAAGTATAATATTATTTTTATTTAATTATTATGTTTCGGTTCGACCGCCGGTCGAACCAGTTAAACCATGAGAGCCGTGAACCGCTGTTCTTTCCGGTTCAATTTCTGGTCCAGCTTTTAAAACATTGGTCAAAAGTGTAAGATGCAGACATGTGAGATAAAGAAACACAAAGTTCCCCAAAGTGTTTTACACGATCCATCATTCTACAAAATTAAGCATTGGAAGGACCGGCAAGTCAAGTTTCGAGAAAATGTTTTGCACCATCCATCATTCTTGTTCACACTTGTATATACTTCGATTTAGGGTTTCTAGCGCAACTTGTTGCGTATTCCTTTAATTTTTTCCTGCACAAGATGAGTGATATTTTAGTATCTTATAGATAACAAAAATTGATACAGTTTTAAATTTTTAACGATTTTTTAAAAGACATGTTATGTTTTATTAACAAAATATTAAAATGCCACTCGTTTTACGTAAAACTAAATGATGAAAACAACAAAAACAATTTGAGCAAATCCTACATTTCCACGCATATTTTTTTACAAGCTCCTTCCTCACTCATCTCTCTCTCTCTCGATATCTCTCTATACTTATATCTATCGCTTAGTCCTATATCTAACAACTGTTTACGCAATCTGCAAAACATGTTGAGCAAAAAGAAAACAAAAAGCACTCGATCGACAAACACTAATTATTAACAAGTCACAGCCCAACTTGCTTTATTTCTGCAGAAAAGCATTAGGCTTGGATTTGGATATGAAACCTGAAAAATATAAAAATGAGAGCTCCATAATCACGGGCGCTCATTCAGGAGTTCCTGTCATTGACTTGAATATACTCATAATCACAGTCAGCATAATTATTTATATATTTCTTTTTTCGGTTTGTAGACGGCAGGGCTTAATATGTAACCCAAAGATCAAGCAAACTTGTCTATAAATATAATCACCTCAGCATCTCCTTCTTCACCCATCAGTTCTCCTTTCTGTTTCTCCACCATTACTCTTCTTCAAACATGCATAACCTTTCACTCTTTTTGGGCCTTGTCCTCTTGTATCTTTCAACTTTGTGCAATGTCACTGCAGCAAATAAGCTCCCAAAAGGTTTCAGCATCGATCTCATTCATCGTGACTCGCCATTGTCACCTTTGTACAACTCCTCGATGACCCACTGGGAGCGAGTTCAAAACGCCGCATTGCGTTCCCTGTCTCGAGTCAATCGTTTTCGCCAATCTTCTTCTGAAAATGCAGCTGAAATGAGTGAGCAACTAGCTCAAACTGATATAATACCAGACGATGGAAGCTATCTTATGAAGATCCTCATTGGCAGCCCACCTGTACAAAGATGGAGTGTTGCAGACACGGGAAGCGACCTAATTTGGGTCCAATGCTCACCTTGTACTCAATGCTACCATCAAGATGTCTCATTGTTTGATCCCACAAAATCTTCCACGTACAAGTCTGAGTCTTGCGGCTCAAGAAACTGTGCTCTTCTTCCTCAGCCTCAACATGAATGCGGAAGCTCAAATCAGTGTTTGTACATTTACGTATATGGAGATCAGTCTCACACGGTGGGAGATTTGGCTACAGATTCAATCGGTTTTGGTACTAGTGATGGCCAATCTGTTTCGTTCCCTAAGTTAGTGTTTGGATGTGGACATAACAATAATGGGAAGTTCAATAGGCGCATGGCAGGACTTGTTGGACTAGGTAATGGTCCTTTGTCCCTAATTTCACAGCTTGGTAATCAGATCGGTCGCCAATTTTCCTATTGTTTGCCTCCTTTCAACACAAAGGCTGCGACTAAGTTGAGATTTGGAGAGGAAGCCAAGATATCAGCAAATGGGGTCGTGTCCACTCCCATGATCACGAATCCTAATAATCCCACCTTTTACTATCTCAATCTTGAAGGTATACGTATGTGTTTTGCTTTGAGATTAATGTTACTCTCTCTTGCGTACTTTCATTTTAAAGTTTTGAACTTGCGAATTCAAATGATTCTTGAAATAGGATAATGAAGTGGGAGAATTCAGTACTTTAAGTATTTTGCACCAAACGGTGTATAATGATATTATATATGAATCTTTATTTTGCGGTCTGAATTATCTAAGTAAAATGGTCGTTGACAGGTATCACCATTGGGCAACAGACAGTGCAGATTGATGAAAGCGACAGAACCATAATAATTGATTCTGGTACGACATTGACACTTCTTCGATCAAGCATTTATGAGCAGGTTGAAACTTTGGTGAAGAAAGCCATTGGAGCCGACCAGTGGATAGTGCAAAACTCTCAATTAAATCTGTGTTACACCAATGTCAACTCTATCAACAATGTTCCAAACTTTGAGCTTCATTTTACAGGAGCCAACATTTCCTTAAAACCTCAGCACTTATTCCTTCTTGTATCCAACGACGTGATGTGCCTTGCAATGTCTCCCACAGATAGAGATTCCATTTACGGAAACGTAGCTCAGATGGACTTTGAAGTCGAGTATGATCTTGATCAGAAAAAAGTTTCTTTTGCTCCAGCCGATTGTACTAAACAATAGAGAGCCTCTTCAAGTACCAGCAATAATATATAGGGTGTTTGTTGCCCCTTAAACTTTTCTTAATTACTTTCCAAATGCTTTTTCTTGCTTCTTTTTGTTATCAAATTCTATATAAAATGAGTAATATTTTGACATCTTATGACCAAAAAAAGCATATATGCAGTAGTTTTGGGTTCTTTTAAAATGATTTTCCAAATTTTTTTTATCTAAATTAAAATGAATCTACGTGATTTTAGAGTTTTTTTTTAAATCATAGAAAAACCTAGAACTGCACCATTTTTTTTGGCTCATAATAAGCAAAAGTTCATTATTTTATATAGAGTATAATAATAAAAAGAAACAAAAAAAAAAAACATTTGGAGGGGGGAAGAATATTAGAGGGGGCAGCAGTGGCGACAGGAAATCCACAATATATATATAGTTACTCTTCCGGTTCTAAATATAAGACTTTTTTTGTAATGTAAATTACACTACAAAAAGAGTCTTATATATTTAGGACCATAGGAGTATTATATGTACTTGATGAATAATATATTATCTTAATATATAAGGACCTATGGACTCTGAGGCAACTTATGAAGAAGGAACCAGGCTTATGAGAAATCTCATAAAGATGGCCGCGAGCGTTTTTTTTTTTATATATATATATATAGAGGTGTGCATTTGTCTAATTTTCCCTCCGTACGCTTAACAAGGATTAGTTTGATTGATGATAAGTGGGACAAAAAAACAGAGTGATTAATTAGCGATACAAGTCTCTCTCTCTCTCTCTCTCTATATATATATATATATTATGCAGTCCAGATGCAGATGATTGAAATGAATATAGCAGCAGAGAGTTGTAAAATAGATTAGAATTTTAAAAACGAAACTGAGAAGATGGCACCCCTATAGTGAAGAGAATTATAAATCAATTGCTCGAATTTGCCAGATGATAGTTTCAAGGTGAATAATGCTTTGAAAAGAAAAAAAAAACTTGATAAACATGATCACCAAAAGAAAAAGGAAAAAGAAACACTTGTTTACTAAGTCAACAAAGCATAAATATAGATCTTGGAAGATGATCGGTTGTAAATACCAATTAATTAAATCGGAGTGAATCGTGACCATTGAGATGTAAAAAATTTTAAATCAGAAACTATTTTTCTCAAGTTAACTCAATTTATAACTAAATTAATTTGCGGAATTCAAAGAAATACCATTTTTTATCCATAACATATATTAAAATGTCGTTCATCTTATATAGAACCTAATGATGAAAAGAAAAAGAAAACAACTTGAGAACTCAGAAAAATATATGGGGGCAGCGCGCACATATTTTTTACAGCTACTCCCTTCCTCACTCATCTCTCTCCATATATTTACATATTTCTAGCTGAAGCCACTTAGTCTTATATCTAACAGTGCACGCAATGTACAGAAGACATTGAGCCAACAGAAAACAAAAAGCACTCGATCGACAACGCTAATTATTAACAAGTCACAACCCACACATGCCAGTGCTTGCTTTATTTATGGAGAAAAGTATTAAGCTTGGATAAGAAACAGAAAAAAGATAAAAGGGAAAAAAACGAGAGCTCCATAATCATTGTCGTTCATTCACCCTCAACCTTTCCTTCTTCACTCATCAATTCTCCTTTGTGTTTCTCCACTATTATTGTTCTTCAAACATGCATAATCTTTCACCAAATAATCAGAACCCTGCATTTCCCCTGCTCGAGTCAATCGTTTCTCCTTCCCAAAATGCAGCTGAAATAAGTGCCAACTGGCTCAAACTAATATACTACTTCTGGTATTAATTATAAGACCTTATTTGTGGATTATAAACAAAGTCTTATAATTAGGACCAGATGTAGAGTGTGTGTGTGTGTGTGTAATCCCAGACTATGGAAGCTATCTTATGAGGATTTTCCTTGTTAGGCCACCTGTAGAAAGATGGAGTGTTGCAGACACAGGAAGCGACCTGATTTGGGTCGTCCAATGCTCATCTTGTCCTTAATGCTATCTTCAAGACGTCTCATTGTTTGATCCCACGAAATCTTCCACCTGCAAGTCTCAGTTTTGTGGCTCAAGAAACTGTGCTCTTCTTCCTCAGCGTCAACATAAATTCGGTAACTCAAGTCAGTTTGTACCTTTACTTAAATGGAGACCAGTCTTGCACGCTGGGAGATTTGGCTACATATTCAATCGGTTTTGGTACCAGTGATCGCCAATCTGTTTCATTCCCCAACTCACTGTTTGGATGTGGACATAACAATCTTGGGAAGTTCAGCATGCGCATGGTAGGAGTTGTTAGACTTCGTAATGGTCCTTCAATTGGTCCCTAATTTCACAACTTGGTAATCAGATTGGTCGCAGATTTTCCTACTGTTAGCCTCCTTTTGACGCAAAGGCTGCAACTAAGTTGAGATTTGGAGAGGAAGCCGACATATCAGCAAATGGGGTCGTGTCCACACCCATGATGGCCAATCCTAATCATCCCACCTTTTACCACCTCAATCTTTAAGGTATATATCTGTTTTACTTTAAGGTATATTCGTTTTAAAGTTTTGAACTTGCGAATTCAAATGATTCTTGAAATAGGATATTATATATGAATCTTTATTTTGCGGTCAACAGATAGCGCAGATTGATCAAAGCGACAGACTGATTCAACACTGACACTCCTTCGATCAAGCATTTGCGGGCAGTGGATAGTGCAAAACACTCAATTCAATCTGTGTTACACCAATGTTAACTCCATCAAGAATGTTCCAAATTTTGATGTTGATTTTACGGGAGCCAATATTTCCTTAAAACCTCAGCACTTATTCCTTCTCGTATCCAACGATATGCCGTGCCTTGCAATGTCTCCCACAAAGGGAAATTCCATTTATGGAAACGTGGCTCAGATTGACTTTGACGTAAATCAGAGAAAAGTTTCTTTTGCTCCCGGCGACTGTACTAACTAAACAGCAGAGACGTCAAGTCCCATCGATAGAGTTATATGCTTAATGATGAATCATGTGCTTGGGTGATCCAGCTCAAGTGAAATATAGGTACTGTAAACCCAACACACATATACACTCCGTGTTTTTGGAAGCATCCGATGAGCGTCTGAGACTAATAACAAGCTTTTGAATTAATAAAAGAACACTTAAAAAAGGATGCTAAATTAAATGAGAGCTATATAACAGGAAGAGTATTTATCTATTACCATCGTTTTGTAACCCATCCTCTTTTCTTCCCATCCTCTTCCCTCCTTTTCTTTTTCTAACTATTAGATTAATATTTTAATGGTTGAGATTTAAATCTTTTTAAAACTATTATTAAAATATTAAATTATAAAAATAAATAAATAATAAATTACAAACTCTATTAAAGTTTAATTCTTTTTTTGATCGTATTAAAGTTTAATTCTAATAGTTTGTAAATGCACTAAATATTTTTAAATTTTTTTAAAATAGTTTATAAAAATTAAAATCTCAATGATTGAAATATATTAATTCAATGGTTAGAAAAGAAAGAGGAGGGAAGAAGAGAGATTCCAACCCGTGATTTTTATAGGGTGATATTTTTTTTAAAAGTGAAATGTAGGGTGATATCTTTAATTTAACTACAAGAATGATCCTAACCTACGAGAAGAGTATTTTCTGATGGTAGTTCATGTATGGAATGGAACATTCATCTTCCGTGAATATTTGGAATTAAGTTGTGGTGATTTGAACCTTTTTAATCAAATTATATACCAAAACACAGCCCAAGTTGTGTCTCTTGAAGAAATTTTTTATTACTTTCTAAGTTAACTAAGTGACAAAAAGATTAAAAAAAAGAAGAAGAAAATAAAAAGAAATAAATCTAAAATATTTTTTTTAAAGAAATATATTTTTTTTGGAAAAAGATTTTCTTTTATAAAACTAATTGAGAAAATAAAGAAATAAATATAAAATATTTTTTTTGAAATTTTTAATAAAAAGAGAGAATGAAAATTATACTAACTATAAAGTTGTGGTCATTTTTTTTACTAACTATAAATTTTATTTTATGATAATTTGTTGGAAAAATTTAAGATAGCCCATATTGGAGCAAGATAATTTCTAAATTCCAAAACATTCCGAAATTTTACTACACCCTCTTAGATCAAAATTAAATTAAATTTCACGAGTGAAAAGTCATGAGTGCTGTTGATTAATTTTTAAGTTAAAAAATATCAATCGTCAAAAGAGTTTTGACTGCCAAATCTTTAACCTTTGGTGATTGGCCACTAGAGTGCTGGTGGTTGCCATTTTGACCTCTTGTGGCTGGCTGCCAAAGCTCCGGTTACCAAAGAATTTTACGCAAATAAGGTAGTCAAGGGCGATTTGGACTTATGACCCTTTGCACACCAAAAAAGGTTACAACCACTAAAGCAGCCAATCTATTAATTAATTATATAATACAAAGAATAAACTATATGTAATAAAACAAATGTGAGTATCCAACTGTGGATGACCAAAAGAAATAAGAAGATTTGCTATACAAATCTTATCTCTGGCTAGGTGTGAATTCAACAGGTGAGTTTACAAGCGTCTAGGTAAAATAATTCTCTTACGTTTCTTATAAATAGTCTCATTCGCATTGTAAATCTTCTTACTTTACTTGTTTATTCACATTTGAATACTTGCATTTGTTTTGTTACATATATTTTTCTTCACATTATATAATTAAAGGATTGGATGGTTTGGTAGGTCATAAATTTTTTGGTGTGCTTGGGGATAATAAGTTCAGACCTCTTTTAGGCTTTATTTGAGTTGGCGTTCAACCCACTTATAAACAACTTATTATCAACAAGCACGTTTGGATAATTTTTTTTTTCCTTTTGGAATAGCTTTTGGTCCATTTAACTTATGGATCAAAAGCTGCTTAAATTATGGGATTCGAAAAAGCATATCAGATCTTACTTTTACCCTTTCAACTGTGCTTAATAACTGTGGAGGAGAAAAAGAATGTGGTCGCAGGAGTGCTTTGATTGTTTTTGTCCT